AGCCTGCTTCTCCCTCTGACCCTCTCCCCTCTCATGCTGTTTCTCTCTCTCTCTCTCTCTCTCAGATAAATAAATAAAACCTTAAAAAAAAAAGAAAAAAGATTTTTAAGACAGTGAGTGCATGTGGGCGTGGGGGGCAGAGGGAGAAGGGAGAGAGCATCCTAAGCAGGCTGCACTAAGCATGGAGCCAGATACTGGGCTCGATCTCAAGACCCTGAGATCATGACCTGAGCTTGAAACCAAGAGTCGGATGTTTAGCCAACTCAGCCACCCAGGTGCTCCATGAACTTTATATAAATGGAGTCATTTTGTATGGTGCACTTTTACATTAGTCCTTTTTTAAAAATCTTAGTTGTAGGGGTGCCTGGGTGGCTCAGTCAGTTACGGGTCTGGCTCTTGGTTTGGGCTCAGGTCATGATCTCATGGGTCATGGGATTGAGCCCTGCTTCGGGTTCTGGCGTTGGGTTCCCGGCTCAGTGGGGAATTGAGGATTCTCTCCCTCTGCCCCTCCCCCAACTTGTGCGTACGTGTTCACTCTCTAAAATGAATACATAAATCTTTAAAAAAAAAAAAATACATTGTAAATCATAATACAGTTTTGTGCCCCAGTTTTTCCCCACTTATGCTTATATTATCATAAGCGTTTTTTTGCCATTGCTGTTTTATCTTTATATTCAACGTTTTTAATTTTTAATAAGTACATAATATTTTATTAACTAGATGACCTTTATTTTACCTTTCTCAATAATTAGGCTATTTCTAAAGGTCCTGTTTTGTACCTAGTGTTTTCCATTTGGCAAATTAAGTTATATTGCCAGAATTGGTAAAAAGATTTGTTATTTTTATGGCTATGATGTCCAATCATTCAAGAATTTGTTGAATACCTACTGAATACTGATGATACACAAAAACATAATGATCTCTTCAATATTTGGGACGTTGCCAGGCAAACATAAAGTAGTTGGTCGGTATTGTAAGACACCCTGCACATAATTACTAAGCTCAGTGTTAATCCTGTGCATTCTAAAGAGCCTTACAATAAAAATAACTCAGAAGGTTAGTGATTTGTGGATGTGCTGATATTCTGTTGAAAATGCAGAAGTTGAGATGCTAAGGGGACTTTTCTGAAGTCAGGTTTGTTGGGCAGGAAGAGTGGGATTTAGTAACTTAAGAAATAGGAAGGATTAGGTATTTGCAAATAATCACAAGTTTATAATTTTTAATTATCTGTGAATAATAACATTTATATGTGTCAAAATTCAAACAGAACAGAGGAATACACAGTGATTATTCTCCTATTCTTGTCCCCTAATTCCTGGGACCTCTTCCTCAGGGCCTCTCTGTTGTACAGCTCCAGGGACACATTTCTTTTTTTCTTAAATGTTTTATTTATTAGAGAGCGAGCTCAAGCGGGGGGAGGGGCAAAAGGAGAGGGACAAGCAGACTCCCTGCTGAGTATATTTCTTATTGTACTCTTTGTGAATTGCCACCATTGCCCTGGGAGCAACCAGTCTTTTTTTTTTTTTTTTTTCCTAAAGAAAAATTAGGTAATTTAACCCTCAAGCTCTAGGTCACTGGTTATGTTTTTAACTTTGGTCTTGTGGAAACAGAGCAGGTGTCAGTGGTCCCCTTCTGGCTTAACTAGAGCACGTATGTATTTAGACTCTTCTGAAACCTGGGATGTCACTTTTATATTACCACAGTAACAAATTACTTAGAAGATAAGAGAGCAAAAGTAGATTTTTTTTAGAGGTAAATAAAGGGGTTTTTTTCCCACAGAGCATAGCAATAATTTCCAAAATCTGGTAGTCTAACAAGACTTGTTAATTAGAAATAACACTTGTGAGGAGAGCTTTATGAATCAGAATATAATCTGGTTTTCTGTACCTGTAAGATGAGAAGACCTGTTTTCTCCTCTTTATCTTGGTGAGAATTTTTTTGATTGCCAGCAAATAGGAAGGCCCTTGGTTTTCAAGACCAAATGGTGAAAGAAAGTTATACTCCTCAATACAGGTTCTTGTTTGGACAGTCTCCTTGTTTTATTTCCTTTTCTCAGTTCTGCCTGCTGAGATACCTTGGGTTTACACCTTCCAGGGGCCTCAGGGCAAATCTCTTGTCTCCCTCTTTGAGCATTTAGGATTGATCTTT